CTCCCTCCTCCCAGACACTGTCCAACACCGCTGTCCTCCCTGGTCAATCGCTCTAGATGTGTTATTTAAGGCAAACTCATTTGTCCCTAACACAAATGTAAGATGTAATTCCCCAAGAATTCAAATGTAATTTAAAGTTATTTTCCAATATCTAATTTGCCTTTTATTTATTTAGGGCAATATTTCAGCAGAAGCCTCCCAGCCAAAGTGCCAGCATTTGTTTACAGTGTCAGGCCGAGCAAAGGCGGGAAACCACACACCCCAGACACAGACGTTACCGATTAAAAAAGTAATTACAACATTGAACACAACCTTAAATAAAAGCAAAAATGCAGGAGACAAGAGGGGAAGCAAAAACATAAATCGGAAACAATGCCATTTTCCCCAGACGTTTTGTAATATTTTCAACCTGCCTGGTACTGGCGCCCTACCCTGGCTGTGCCAGACACAAGCAAAGCATCTGGTGAGGAGGGGTGGGGTGGCTCTGCTCTGAAAAGAGGTGGAAAGAAGTGCCTAATCATCAGAGATCATCTGTCTGCCTGTTTGCCTGTCCGTCTTTTGTTTAACATCTTGATCTGCTGAGAACCTACTTATACTGATCCTCAGGGGATTAATTGTATACTATATTATGGCAAATGGCCAAAACCCAACACAACTCAAACTGACTTAACTAGGAAATGGGTATGTTCTGGTTCATGACAGACCATCTGTAGTTCTAGTTTCAGGCACAGTTGGATCCAGGGGCTCAACGTCAAGTAGAATCTCTCAGTATATCTATCACTTGGCTCTTCTTTCCACAAAGTTAACTTCATTTTCAATCAGGCTTTCTCTACCTGGTGGCTAAGATAGAATCCTAGCAGCTTTAAGCTTAGATCCCATAAGCTCAGTGTTCCCCCAAGGAAAGGGAGTGCTTCTTTTCCCACCATTCTAGCAAAAATATCAAGTCAACCTTTCATTGGCCCAACTTGGGTCATGTGCTGATCTGTAAACCAATGATTGTAGCTTGGGAGTTTCAGTCCTTTCATTGGCCAGGCCTGAGTCAGATTCCCATCCCTTGAGAACAAAGGTAGGACCAGTCCCTCCCAAACTGAGATTGAGAGTGAGTGAGAGATAATTCGTGAAAAGAAAACTGAGGTTCCTACAAGAACTGAAGGAGCAATAAGACACTGGGTGAGTAAACACAACTGATTTCCACCACAGATTTGAACATTTTCTGTCCATTTCTAACACCTCTACTCTTTCTACAGTATCTCCAGACCACATTTTTAGACTTGTGAGTACAGTACAGTGACGTCTGCTCCATTGTTGGGAGGATAATAGGACTGTCCTATAGAATATCAAACTTGTGGATTCTTTTCTCGATTTTATTAAAAGATTCTGTCAACTAAAACATAGCACAACTGGGAACAGATGACATTTTGCAGCCACCAGGTTAACTTGCTTCAAGTGGCCCAGGATTTCCTACGAGATGAATATAACAAGGGCTTTTGGGTTTGAAGGAGTCAAATAATTGATGTCTAATTGTCTAACAATTAAGTCACAGGAGAGGCAGGAAGTATAGTAGCTGTAAGCATTTTTGGGTAATCACACTTTGGAACCGACCACAAACCAGTGTTCCTGGTTTCTGCTTATACCCCAAGGAGTGACTGTGTATGTGAACTGATAGAATTGATTGTAGAGATGAAACTCTGGGGCCAAATGTGTGTAACTCTTGGCCACACTTAGCACGGAAGGGGTCAGATCATTCTCTCTCATCAGATATCCAAGAACTGGATCTCGCATAATCACAGAACAAAGCATTCACAAGACTGTGCAGAACTTCGCTTCAACAGCAACCCCTCTGGCAACAAGAGGCAACTGCAGCAGTGAACTAACCAGACCCCTGTCCTTAGCCATTTCTAGTTTAGCCATGGGCAGACACTCCCTTTGGAACTAAGAACACCTGTATGGTTCACAGATCATTTAAGGGGGCAGGGAGAACTCCACAAAAAAAGTGATAAACATTCTACTAATAAGGCAGGTGGTTGCTGAAGCAATTGATAGGGAAAATGAAAGCACTCTGCCTCATTCAGGCCCCAAGTTTGTGGAGATGTTCTTGCTGCCAACACAAGGAATAAATGAGAGACTGGATCTAGGTTCCTAAGAACCATTCCCGGTATGTAGGAATATGGTAATATTTGCCCTCTTATGATTCCAATCGACAGCACTTTTTCCCTTTTTAATTTTTTTTTTTAATTTTTTGAGACAGGGTCTTGCTGTGTCACCCAGGCTGGAGTACAGTGCTATGATCTCAGCTCACTGCAACCTCCACCTCCTGGGTTCAAGTGGCTCTTCTGCCTCAGTCTCCTAAGTAGCTGGGACTACAGGCATGTACCACCTCACTTGGCTAATTTTTTTGCATTACTAGAGATGGGGTTTCACTGTGTAGGCTGGGCTAGTCTCAAACTCCTGGCCTCAAGTGATCCACCCGCCTTGGCCTCCCAAAGTGCTGGTATTACAGGCATGAGCCACCACATCCAGCCATTTTTTTAGTTTTTATTGTTGTCACTTGCCAGAGACCATGATCGTCTCTTACTCAAACACCACTGTATTTAATGTAATCCCATCTGAAATTCTGTGAGGTAGATAGCATTATCATTTATCACCACATTTTCGATTTTTTATAATGGAGGTTCAGAAAGGGAAGATGATGCACCCAAAGTCACACCATGGTAGAACCAGGACTAGAGCTCAGATTTCCCGCTCCCCGACTAGCGCTTCCATTAACTAAGGGCTTTGTATTCTCAAACACAATGGGCAAAGGGAGACAGAAAACTTGTGTTTCTTGAACATCTGCGATGGCAGGCACCACGCTCGGCATGTTTACATATATCAGCTCATTTACTCTTCTCCATAGTCCCATGAGGCCTCTGTGGTATTATTTCCCCCATTTTAGTCAAATGGAGGCACAAAGAGGGAGGCAGGACCTTTCCCTGAATCACTGTACAGCTAGGGTCTCTGAAGGGATTCAGCATAAAGAGGACACTTTTCCAGGAAGGAAGCTCCCTGCCCAATGGGACTGGTGGAGTCTCATCCTCACCCTTACTCGCCAGAGACATCACCGAACCGCACCTCGCTTCCCAGGAAATAAATTCTGGGCACACTCCAGGGTCTCTGAAAAAGACTCCCTCACTTCCAGCTTTGCCAGCTGGCTCCATTCAAGAGTGAAACTGGCCCAATTTTCCCATTGGACAGATGCTTACAGTGTTCTGAATAAACACAGAAGTTGACCCTCCCAGTCTTAAAGCCTGAAACTTACTTTTGTCTCATCTGAGTTCCTTTCTCAGGAAACAGACAGTCAGTCCTCCCAGATAGTATCAAGGAACTGAAACTCATCAGATCACTGCAGCTAGATAATGAGACACCAGACCTCTCATCCATCATGACTGCTTCCTTACCCCTCCCTAACTTCTGTCTTTCTGCATATAGTTACATTTCCTCCCCAGAATATAAACTCCCAATTTTAGTCAGTTGGAGAGACAGATTTGAGACTTATCTCCTCTCTCCCTGCCTAACAGCACCCAAATAAAGCCTTCTTCCCCAGCAATGCTTGTGGTCTCAGCGACTGGCTTTCTGTGTGGTGAGCAACAGGACCTAGATCAAACCCTTGACATTTTGGCAAAAACAGGAGAGGTATCTGGGCTAGAATTGTGATGCCAGGTGATCTAGAGGTAAAGAGAGACAACCAGACAGAGACTGAAAGAAAAAAAGAAAGAAAGACATATAGGGAGAGGAGAGAAAGGGGGAAGAGAGAGAGAAAGAGCAAGAAAGGAATGAAGAGGAAGAAAGGAAATGGTAAAGGACATAGCAGAGGATGAGGGGACAGGGAGGAGGAATCTGGGGTGTAAAAATATAAAACTTTGGTATAAAAGGAAAAAATGAAGTTATTTGTTAAATATACTGTGTTCCTAATTGGTATCCATCTCTGTACTAAACATCACAAAAATAAAGTCCAGACTCTCAAGCATGTAAATGAACAATTTTACAATTGTTCATTTGATTATAAGTCTGTGATATGGTTTGACTGTGTCCCAACCCAAATCTCATCTTGAATTGTAGCTTCCATAATCCCATGTATAGTGGGAGGCACCCAGTGGGAGGAAATTGAATCATGGGGACTGGTTTTCCCATGCTATTCTCATGGTAGTGAATAAGTCTCACAAGATCTGATGGTTTTATAAAAGGCAGTTAGTTCCCCCTGCACATGCCCCCATGCCTGCTGCCATGTAAGATGTGCCTTTGCTCCTCCTTCCCCTTCTGCCATGATTGTGAGGCTTTGCCAGCCATGTGTAAATGTGAGTTCATTAAACCACTTTTTCTTTATAAATTACCCAGTCTCGGGTATTTTTTCATAGCAGTATGAAAATGGACTCATACAGGCTGCCGCAAGGAACAGGAAAGGGCCAGAGACAAGGCAGAGATGGAGCGTGCTAGAAAACAGATCTTGTCTTGAAGACTGGAGTCTAAAACTGTCATTAAGGACTCCCTGAAAGTTTGCAGATTTACACTTAGGATTTATAAGTGCTCAGCAAGAACTTATTAAAATTTTAGTGTGTTCACAAATACTAGTACATTCTGGATCATCTTCCTGACAACCAGGATGGAATCCATGCATTGATTTGATTTGTGATCATTTTGGGGTCTAGTAACAATGTGTGTTTTTTTCTCATTAAACTTTGTTTTAATGGGTCTCAAAATTCTGTGACAGATTTTTGGTCAAGTTGCTTCCATTGAACAGTACTGATTTTAAAACCTAATAATGTAAAACTGCCACACACACACACACAAAAAAAACCAAAGTGGTCCACAAAACATTCTCCTTTCCTTCTGAAGGTTTTATGATGCATTGTTATCATTAACCAGTCTTTTACTATTAAACTTAAATGGCCAATTGAAACAAACAGTTCTGAGACTGTTCTTCCATCAACTAAGACCAGGGTAGCAGGTATTAGGGATAATATTCATTTAGCCTTCTGAGCTTTCTGGGCAGAGTTGGTGACCTTGCCAGCTCCAGCAGCCTTCTTGTCCACTGCTTTGATGACACCCATGGCAACTGTCTGTCTCATATCACGAACAGCAAAGCGACCCAGAGGTGAATAGTCTGAGAAGTTCTCAATACACATGAGCTATCTAGGAACCATATCAACAATGGCAGCATCACCAGATTTCAAGAATTTAGGGCCATCTTCCAAATTTTTACCAGAATGGCGATCAATCTTTTCCTTCAGCTTAGCAAACTTGCATGCAATGTGAGCCGTGTGGCAATCCAGTACAGGGGCATAGCCTGCACTGATTTGGCCTGGATGGTTCAGGATAATCACCTGAGCAGGGAAGCCAGCTGCTTCCATTGGTGGGTTTTTTTTTGCTGTCACCAGCATCATTGCTATGATGAACCTCCTTGATAGACATGTTCTTGACATTGAAGCCCACATTGTGCCCAGGAAGAGCTTCACTCAAAGCTTCATGGTGCATTTCAACACAATTTATTTCAGTTGTAACACTGACAGGAGCAAAAGTGACCACCATACCGGGTTTGAGAACACCAGTCTCCATTCGGTCAACAAGAACAGTACCAATACCACCCATTTTGTAGACATCCTGGAGAGGCAGGTGCAAGGGTTTGTCAGTTAGACGAGTTGGTGGTAGGATGCGGTCAAGAGCCTCGAGCAGTGTGGTTCCACTGGCATTGCCGCCCTTATGGGTGGCTTTCCATCCCTTGAACCAAGGCATATTAGCACTTGGCTCCAGCATGTTGTCACCATTCCAACCAGAAATTGGCACAAATGCTACTGTGTCAGGGTTGTAGCCAATTTTTTTTTTTTTTTTTTTTGAGACTGAGTTTCGCTCTTGTGGCCCAGACTAGAGTGCAATGGTGCGATCTTGGCTCACTGCAACCTC